CTTGGCGCTGCCAAGTGCGTTCGCAGCATCTCGGAGCGCCGGTGTCAACGGTGTTACCGGACCACTCTCTCGCGAAACGAGAGAAGGAAAGAGATGGGATAAGAAAGGGAAAGAATAAATGTACACGTATACATAAGCATGTGTGTGTGTATGTATATGAGAGTATATGCGTACGTGCTGCAAGCGAGAGAGACGGATACACGTGGTAGAACGCTGGTAGAACGAGAGAGGAGGCGAACCGTCTTCATTATGCTAATGTCGTGCAACTACAGCTGACCGTGGCCAAAAATAGATGTAGATATCGTGGGATGCTGAGTCGAAACCCCTGAGGGGGTTTTTACGCTCTTCTTCTTCTCATTCTGGACACTCTGTCTCTGTTTCTCTCTCGAATTATATCGCCTATTTTCTCGCGCCCGTCTCCTCTCGATTCTGCTCAGTGTGTTACGCTTGTTCCTCGATTCGGGCTACATCCCGGTGGAATGAAATGGTGCCGAGGGTGTAGATCGAATCGCTGTTTCCCTATTCGTGCGCTTATACGTTGTCGAAAATCTTCCTCTCATTGCGTCCCTTCCTTCCTGTCTCTCTCTCTTCCTGTCGCCACGATCCCTTTTTCTTTTTTCATGCGTACAAGATGCGCTCATTACTCGACTATTCTCCCGGACGTTTCCGTGGAATATTTTATCTTTGTAATGGACCGGCTGCGACAGCATTTGAAAAGGATCGAACGAGTATCGATGCGCAAGATGTTTCGTTGATAATATCATCCTTTTTAAAATAACCAACACGATTACAATCATCGATACTCCGCAAAAATTGCATATTTATAAACGTGAACTCTTTCGTGTCAATTTATATTATATTTACGTCCGCCATCATTATAAATATATGTATATGTATGTGTAATACATGGAGAGACTTTGCTTTGAATTTACCCTAAAAATCATGGTAATCGTGGGACAATATGGTATTGGAAGAATTTTACAAGAAATTTTCTGATTAATATTTTTTATTGTGGTAAATATTAATCAGAGAGAAAATCTTCCAATACCATATTGTCCCACGATTGCCATAATTTCCAAGGTAAATTATAAGAGAAAATTCTCTTTGTGTATTTATTTAATAATGAATAAACAGTAGTAATAAAAATAAATATAAAACTTTGAAAGAAAAAGAAAGAAAGAGAGAGAATGTGAATGCTTCGATGTACCTTGCAATTTGATGCATTTGTAGTATATAGCGACAAATAGAAAATGTCTATTGCATCGTTTAACAAAATAAATCGGAGTAGGTAAATATATTCTTTAATATAATATCTTTCTTACGATATTTTTTGCAAAATTGTGCTGCTGCCTATAGCTGTAGGCTATACACGTTCCAGGACAACGTCGTTATCTCGAGCAATGCATATGTATCGGTATGTAATGAGTTACTAATACGTATCACAATATACGTGGCAATAATGTAAATTTTATTCACATGGAATAAAAATATGTTAGATGAAAACATTGATACTTTTGGTTGACAAAGTAAAAAGTAATATTTTTATTGTGATAAATATTAATCAGAGAAACTTTTATAAAATTCTCTTCGTATATAATTGTACATATATATATATATATATATATATAATTTTTTACGTCATGTAATTTACATTATGCATGCCACGTGTTATGATATGTATTACTAACTCATTACACGCCAATACATATGCGCTGTTCGAGATAACAACGTTGTTCTAGAACGTATAGCTTACAGCTGTGCATATATGTGTATATGTATATTATGAGATATGCATTCGTCAAATTTCTATATCGATTTTAAAGCCTCAATTTCACATTATAAATAATACGATTTTATTAAATAAAATTAATATTAAACGTATTCTTTTATAGATACTTCCTCAGAGCGGTTGAAAACGAGTCACAAAGTACAAGTCCGACACGTGGCTTTACAATCGAGCATGCATTTTAAAATCGATGCCCCTACTTAACTTTTCAGCACAAAACACAGCATCACATGACACGTGACGACACGCGACTTCATGCAATAGCATAATTATTGAAATAATATTTTTTAAATAAGTCTTGATATTGCAAATTTACCACATATATTGTATATCGGAGTCTTAATGTATATTCTTTACGCATAAAATATTGTCCGTAAAATTCGATTATAAATTCGAATTTATAAATCGCATCACTTGCGATGATGGAAAGGAACGTATCTATGCCCAGGAGAGATCTGATACATCCTATTTGCAATCTACTGCCTCTCTCCCTCGTGTTGTATCAACATGTAGCTAATATTGAATACCAGGTATCGACGTGGATAATATTATCAGGCATCGGTGGCAAAGCGTAGATATCTCGATAATATCGAAATACCATAAGCGTTTGTATCGTATCGCGAATAATGTATTCGAAACGAAGCAAGCAACGCGCGAGATGAGGGAAAGAGGGAGAAAAGGAAAAAGATGACAGCTGGCTGGCTGGTAAAGAAGAAGCGAAAAGAAAGAAGCATAACGCGACGAGTCAGCAGTTTTTGTTAAAAAATTTATTTAGTTCGGCTTCATGAAAAATATCACCTCGTACCCCTCGTTTCTCGTTGTTACGTGTCACACCTCGGCGCGGCTGCCTTTGTCCCCTTCTATTTTCCCTCCGTTTCTCTCTTTTTCTTATCTCACATGTTCCGACGTATTCTCCATTCCCTCTCCCGCGATCTATTTCTTTGTCATCTATATATTTTCTCTTTCTCGCTTTTATACGCCGGTACGTGCCTTGCCTTGCATTGGAGCGTGCGCCAATTCGCTTATTCATTTTTCAATGTTACGATGTGATGCCATCCGGCATTTCGCACGTCGAATAATTTCGCGTTTCGCGATTATGCAATATTACAATTACCCTGTGTGCACCGACACAGGAAACACGTGTGTATTCAATAGCGCGTTTTACATCGAATTATGCCACGCGAAAACCGTCTGATATATAAATCATAAACTGACACGATTTCGAGCGTTTTCCGCATTTGCGAGTTTTATAATCGCTTTATCTAAATTAATTGACAATCAAGTATAGTTAAAAGACAAGTTGAGACCTTACGTTTTAGTTTTTTACTATTTCAAAAACTTTTCTGTATTTATAAAGATTGAGAAATTAATATTTATTCAATTTTGTATAAGCACTTTCTTTCTAGCTAAATTAATTTTTATCGATAAAATAAAGATAAATCGTTATATTATAATACAGAAAGATTGTCGAATAATTTTATCTCTTTTATTTTTATTGTAAAAAGTTGTCCAAGTATAAAAAACTTAAATTAAAATTAAAATAAATTAAAATTGAACTATAAAACTTCAGAGATTGTCATAAATATATAATAGAAGCTTGTCGAAAACATATTTTAAATATTGTGTCTTGTGAATCTTGTTAAATAAATTTTAGGGTTTTCTTAAACATTTAGGGTCGGTTGTTCCAATTTCTTCGTAAATATACAGATAGCATATGTTCTTTTTTTTTTAAAGATGAAAATATGCTATTTTAGTCGGATAAAATTTACCAAGAACAATCGGCCCTTAATGTAAAAAAAGTTCAAGTTTCAATCGTTTTGATATTGCTACAACATAAAAAAAAATCAGTTGCGGACAAAACGGAAGGTGAATTTTCGTGCAGACGCGTACTTCCGCTTCTATAGCGGTGGTATATGGGTTTTGAAAATGGAAAGTGTATTTATCTCAAGGTAGAGACGTAGCTGAGCTTATCAGAGCCAGCGACGCAGGAATGGCGCGTTTCCGTTTCCGTTGCGATATCGAAACTCACTCAAGAAAGAGTTTTGCACCGGAGATGCTCACCAGCCGTAACACGAAAGCAAATAGACGTTCCTGCGATTGTAACAACGAGCTGAGATTAGAAATCCCACGAACGACATGACAGACATTTACGCGCTTCATTTCTCCATTTTCTCGCGAAATATTTCTCTCTCTTCTTAATTATCAAACGTTTCCATTTATCGATTGAAAGAGGCACGTTGATGCTCTGTCGTGCTAATTAATATATTAGCAGACTATTAGTTGTTACTCTGCGATATTAAGTCTTGCTAATTGATTTTTCAATAAAAATTTTTGAATGCAGAACATAAAAAATTAAAAAGTTTTTCAATTAAATTTTTTAATTTTAAAATTAATTTAAAAATTCAATTTGAAAATTTTTATTTCGAAATTTTGAAATTGCTGACCATAAGGATATAATAGTGAAGTGAAAATCGATTGTAAATTAATCATAAGATCCGTCTTATTAAAATGAATGGTGCGATCGTTTCCTTTATAGCGTGTTTCGCGACACATTGTACAAAAGGAATAAAAGAACGAAATGTATTCCGTGTCACCGAGTTAGAGGACAGATGTAAAAGCCGAGAGTTCGCATGCAAAGGAAGCACGGGTGATCCATTAGAGTCAGGCAGTGTCTGCTTTCACTGCGCTTTAGATCGACAGGACGAAACCGGCACCAAATCAAGATGAACCGTGGATGCAGCCGATCTCTGTTGTGACATCGCGACTACGATAATCGTGAACATGCGAACAAGGCGTGTGAGAGATACTGAACCGATGCTGTGTATGTATGCAAGAGGCTCGAATGATACGCCATGGTCCTCTGGTTTGGAATCAGACTCGAAGGATCTCTCTCAGGCTTTGTGCGAGGATATACTACAGAATATCGCGAACACAACAGGATGTTTGCGTGGGCTGTTGTTTAACGTCTCTATTTCTCATCTACTTTCAATATTTTATTTTTTTCGATCGATTTAATTGTGAAATTATTTCAGAGATAGAAGAGAGATTTTATCATTTTTAATAATGTTTGTATAGATTGGACAATATATTTTTTATTTTTAATGTTTCTAAGAGATGCACTTTAGCGTTCAATCTTTTGTTTGCTTCTCTCAATTCTGAATTTTGTTCACTTTGTTCTTTCTTCATACTAGAAAGAGAAAACTGATTCGCTTACCTTTGGCTGACTAGTTGAATCGGGTCCATAATGGCTGGTCTCTAGAACTCGTTGATTGAGTGCCACTTCCCTTCAATATTTGATGTTGACACAATTTTGATCCGACCTACGCATACAGATACAGACATATGTTGATATTAAGTTGCAAAAATTAAAAATTTTCAGCTTTGACGAATAAATATCTGTTGAATATTTATTGCTTTTATTATAATTGCTTTACCATCTGTGACACCATATGATGGCAAAAATATGTATAATAAATAATTTAAAAAATTAATTTAAAAAATATTATTCAAGCACACCAGATTTTTATATTTTGCAAAATTATTTCGTTTAAATCAAATTCAATAATTATATAGGTATCCGTTTAATATTTATTGCTTTTATTACAATTGCTTTACCATCTGTGACATCATATGATGGCACAAACACGTATAATAAATAATTTAAAAAATTAATTTAAAAAATATTATTCAAGCACACCAGATTTTTATTTTGCAAAATTATTTCGTTCAAATAAAATTCAATAATTATAGGTAGGTATGTAGTAATTATATATACTTTCGTAAATATTGTGTGTATACGCATAAACATAAATTTGAAATTCTTTGTCGAGACAAAATTATAGTACATATTAGGTAAGTCTTTGCATAGAAAACTAGCAACTTTGCCGGCATTCAACGTGTTAACACTTAAGTAGTTCTATGAATTTTCATGAACCTGCATATTCATGATGTCATTTATTTTATAATATTACGTAAAAACGTGCGCAGTGTATTTAAATAAATTCATGCAAATAAGTCGAAAATGAAAGAAAACTAATCGACTATACTTAAATTTATTAGGGTGTTTCGGGGCAACATTAAAATTAAAATATAATAAGTTTCCTCGTTTATTAGAAATAAAAATCGGAATCAAGTCAATTTATATAACTCATCGATTTTGTATTTTCCGCATATTTTCCTGATTTTTACACATATATACTTTCAGAGCGAAGATATTTATTACATATTTATAAGAGTACACTGTAAAAAATGGTTAACTTGATTAAACCTTTCAACTAAATATTATTTTGTTAATTGAACATATATTTAAATTAAATCTAACAAAACGTATATTTGACTTAAATACTAATATATGTTCAATTAACAAAATGGTGATTTACTTGAAAGGTTTAGTCGGGTAAACAAATTTTTTAGTAATATATTTTATTGAGCTAATCAAACCTTGTGTGCGGAGATATTTCAGCGAGGATTTCCCATGAATCAGAAAGTTTTTAAAGAAGCATCGCGTTAAACCTAACCACGAGCGCGAGATTACAAGCCCGGATGGAGAGATCTAACAATGCCGATGCGTCGCGTTTCGCGTATATATATATATACACACACATATACATATACCCTCCCCCTTTCCTCCCCCCTCGGTTTCGAAATTCGGAAAGGCTGTAGATGCAGGACAATTGCAGGGAATCCGAGAACGCGCGCTCGAATTTCGGAGTCAATAAAGCGACCGGCCGGAATTCGGTCGAGAATCGCGTCCCGCGAGTTAATCGATGAATCGATATATAGGATCGAGTTCGATTTTCGAACGCATTCAGAGACGCGTAGAAAAATACCCGCGCGCGCGCGAGAAGAGATTCTTTTTCCCCGCCGCGCGTTTATAAAGAATTTTCCTCCTTCACGCGCGCATTCTTCGTCTATACGTTCCCGCTTTCGGACTTTATCACTCTTTCCCTCTCTCTCTCTCTAGCTCGCGCTCTCTTTTTCGCGCGCGCGGTGAAACAAGATTACTCCGCGAGTGTACGGTAAGTTCTCCTTCGTTGTGTTAGTGGTGACGGAAGAAGGAAGAAGATCGCGAGAGCGAGAGAGAGAGAGAGCGAGTGACTAAACCCCTCCACCCGCGCGAGCGTGATAGTCAGCAGGCGATGCGCGACCAAATCTAACCTAACCTAACCCCATCGCCGGTTCTCCAGAGCGAGATGAGCGAGCGAGCAGACAGGCTGGGTCGTCAAGCGGGCGAGAACGGGACGAGGACGGAGTTACGGTCATATGGGAAACGAGAGAGGATGCGGAAGGGGAACGAAGGGAAAACGCGGGCATGCGCGTCGAGGCGGTTTATCGAGCCGCGGAGAGGGGTTTCGGCGGCCTCGTCGTCGTCGTCGTCGTCGTCGTCGGGTGGCGGTGGTGGCGAGAGAGAGAAAGAGAGATACCACGAAGAGGGGAAGGAAAAAAGACGTAGTATCTGTAATAGGCGCGAGCGAGAAAGAGCGAGACGATAGCATATTACGCGGACGAGGATGGAAAACCCAGAGTTATCTAGCGAGAGAAGCCTTTGGGATAAAGAGGAAAAGAGAAGGGAACGTACCGTGGAGCGGGTGGATATCCAGCAGGTTCGAGAGAGACGGATGCTCCGTTGGAATGCAGCGGAATGACAGGAGAGAGAGAGAGAAACACAACACGCGCGGGCGAGACTCCACGGTGGACTAGAGTGGGAGCGAGACGCCGCGCCGTGAAGTTAGCGGGAGGAGGAGGCGTAGCGGGGAGGGGGAGCGCGCGCGGTGGTGGGGGCTCGCTGGAGCCGGAGAGGGGGGAGAGAGGGGCGCTGCCGTCGGGCAGTCGCTGTCGCGCCAGGCCCCCGCTAGCGGCTAGCAAGCAAGCAGTCGCAGTCCCGTCGCCTAACCAGCATCGCTCGCCTTTTACCTCTTCACCCTCTCAAAAAATATTTACAAAAAATCGCATCGAGGCTTCCTCCGTCAGCTGCATTTGTAATATACACCCCGTTTCCGTTTCCAAGCGCCCGCGCCGGTTGTGTATCGACGACGTCGTCGTGTTTGCCGTCGCCATTGCCGTAGCCGCCGCCGCCGTCACCGCCGCCGCCGCCGCCGCTGCTGCCGCCGTCGCCGACGCAGCTGCTGCCGTCGCCGCCGCTGTTATTGCCGTCGTCATCGTCGCGACACGTAGTACGTCGCCGTCGTCGTCGTCGTCGTGGTCGTGGTGTTTTGCCGCAACGTTCGTCCAGGTCGCGCGTGCCTACGTTCAAACCCCGGCGAAGTTTGACGTTTCCGGGTCGACGGAAACGCGCGCGCGGGAAAGAGGGAGAAAAAGAGTACACCCAGTGAGAGAGGAGAAAGTCGCGCGCGAAATTGAGAAAAAATCCAGGAGAGCTCGTGTGTGATCGGGGAAAGCTGATTATGAGTTGGAACGTTGGTGCAACGGCGGTTCAGCGAGCCGACTGAGAGAGAGAGAGAGAGAGAGAGGGAAAAAAAGAGAAGGAGCGAGAGCGGTTGTTTTTTTCATTCGTGATTCAACTCGCACGGATATACGTACATCGTCGTCCGTGCGCGCGTTATTCGGGTTCGCGAGGAAGTACATCGGGATTTTACGGTACAAAAAGTGTGTGAGATAACCGCGAGTTTCTCAGAGACAGGCAGTTTTCTCTCGGAACAGTGGTGTTCGCTAAGATTAAATATACCTACTCCGCGGGAATACGTAAGTGGCCGAGGTTTTATTTTCGAAAGTGTTTTGTCGATTGGTGAGACAAGAGGAGAGAGAGAAAAAGAGTTTTTAAATCTCCGGGACAATTCCCCGTGTCAAGGTGACCGACAACATCACGGCAAGATCGCGTCTGAATCCGCTGCGTGTTCCAGAGCAAGGTAAATTCATACAGAGTTTCCTATTTGCGGTTTACCTACATAATAGGTAACACCTGTTTATGTGTCTCTACGAGAGACTGCATCTCAATGCGCGTGTAAATGTGTGTGACATGACGGATGCTGTGACGCGTATGTATACGATCGTAAATACGGGAGAATAGGCGGCGATTCGCGGGGTGATGAAATAAGATCTCGCGATAAAATGACATCTCTCGCGTGGGTGTCGCGTATATAAGGTATCGTTCGCTTCTACGAGATTAATACGCACACGGAAAGAATTTTCTCGAATTTACCCTGAAAATCATGATAATCGGGAGACAATATGGTACTGGAAGAATTTTACAAGAGTTTCTCCGAATAAGATGTAAAATATTTTTTTTTATTGTATATTATATTTTATATTATATATTGTGTCAAATATTAATTAGAGAAACTCGTATAAAATTCTTCCAATATCATATTATCTATGATTACCACGATTTTCAGGGTAAATTCTAAGAGAAGATTCTCTTCGTGTATATATTATGAATATACGCGTATATAGAATATTTATGCGCGCGCGAAGGTGACGTCACGCGATGCGTTTCTACGTCTCTGGTTTTTCTTCCGAAATTCGATATATTTAGTGTGAAGGGAATCAAATCGGAGCAGATACTCCGATATATCGCAGTTTAATATCTTGCAGATTTTGCGGCGGCACGTTTCCGCCACGGTAAATATTAATGTCACGTGCACAATTAATGAGAATACACGTCTTAAGATGTGAGTTACTTATTCCACTGGGTATATTAGAGCTGCTCGGAGAGAAGTGTGCCGAAGAAGAAATTTTATATAATTTCTACTCTATCCTGCGCGCGAAAGTATGATGTTGCAAAAACTAATTATTGGTTTTTTATTAGTACGCGTTAAAAGGGATTAAATCGAAAAAAAAATTATTAAACGAAAGAAATGTCAGTTAATTCTGGATATCTATATAACTTTTTTATACTGTATGTATCGTAATCAGGATTATCCAATATTATATAATATTTTCAATTCGAGTAATCTTTATCCGTTTAAAAAAGTTTTTCTTTTTAATTTGAAATACTCAGAATTCATATATAGGTAACTTATATTTCACATCAAGTTGTATTATGTATTTAAATCTAAAAGCCAAATATGAAAATGCAGATCAAAAATACATAGCAATCGCTTTTTATATACGTATCAAATATATATTTAATCATGTATATATAACTTTCAAAGTTAAATATTGCGTCCGATTGTGATTTGCATTGCTGCAACTGAAAATGTTATTAAAAGAATATAATGACGGTATTTACGAATTCGATTAAGCGATGATTTACATCTTGACAGTTTGACACTTTTGATATCGAATGTTACAGTGAAAGTGAAACTATCAATATGGACGAATAATATGTATTAACAATGAAACATGATTAATTGAGAGCGTTTAAAAAGTAATTTATAAAAAGAAAAGAAATAATATTTAATTATGCAATATCTGAAAGTATAAATAATATAATGTTATGTGCAAACTGTACACGTATGAAAATGCGTTTATAATTTATTTCAGTCTCAGAAAAGAATAATATGGTAAATTATCGTTAATTATTTCACGAATAACATTTTCGTTTTAATGCTGATTGATTCTCGATCTTGCGATCGTTAATGGAAATTTCGTTCGAATAATTTACACAATTTTTAGCCATTAAATATATATATATTATTTTTAAATATATTATTTTTTTTATAAAAAAATGTTAACTTGACTAAATCTTTTCACTAAATTACTATTTTGTTAATTGAACGTATATTAGTATTTAAATCAAATATACGTTTCGTTAGATTTAATATGTATTTATTTAAATATATATGTATCTAATTTACATATTTTTATATGCTTAATTAACAAAATAATATTTAGTGGAGGTGGTGCTGTCATTTATCTTTGATTTATACATTTGAGATTAATCATTTCCTGACATATATACACAATAAAATAATAATAGTAATAATACCAGAAATAATAATATCAGAAAATGATTGATCTAAAATGTATAAATCGAAGTTTAATATAAATGACAAGAATCAAATATCAAAGGAAATGTGATCTGAAAAAAATATATGGAAAGTATCGCGTTTGCAGTCTATGTAATTTCAAGCGCATGAAATCGAGATACATCTATTAAAGAGAAAGAGAGAAAGAAAGGAGGGGGCGCAAACGTCCCGTCTGAAGTTAGTCGCTCGCGAGCTTCAGATTGGTAGACAAATGGGAGCGTGTGGCTGCTTGAGTTTTCGTCGCCAGTTCGCCAGCGATTATCCTTATCGCGTTCGCCGGTGAATTATCGCGTTACGTCCGCGCGATAGCCGCGTTTCGAAATTCACGTTCGTCTCACGTGTCGTGCCCTTTCGCTCGCTCGCTCTCGTCGCGAGATACCATCGTCTCGCTTCATTTGTTCACTGGCGATCGCGCCGAATGCCGCACGTAACCTGAAACCTCCTCGCGGCGGATTCCGCAAATTCATGTCCTCGTTTCTGCAAACTCGAGTCGGTCGGTGCACGTGTGTACGTGTTCGATACTTGAAGGATGTGCTTAAAGAGATGTCAGAAAAATTGTGAGTTTATTAAAGTAGCGCGTGAAATATACACGGTGTGTCCAGCGGAGACTTTTTCGTCGACATTGTTGGGGCTCGGCAGCAACGTGTTTTAAAGTCGCAGTTTCAAACGACATTGCTCGACTAAAGTATGTATGGATGTATATAATTTCGTTATCGCTACGCGAAGAAGCACTTTGAAGGCTTCTGTAATCTTTTTGTTTAGCCACATTTTTCTACGTATTATTATTTTATTCATAATTTATGTTTTCAAAACTATATGTTTTCAAAACTGTATGTTTTAATATAAAAAAAATAGAAACAAGATAGAAACGTGTAGCTAAATGAAGTGGAGCTATTATTGAAACAAATGATTGGAATTTTCTGAGATAGGACTTTTTTTTTATGGAGGTTTTTGAATCGCAAATTTTTCAATCGTTCTAAAATCATAATTTTTCTTCGGAATTTATACTTCACGAATGTTTCTTTATATATATTAATTTATTTAGCTGCAAGATTTATTTTTCCGAGCTAGCAAAATTGATAAGATATACCTATATAACTGATATATATTTTAAATTCTCTTTAGATCAATCATGTTCTTCATGAATAATTACGACGATTGCCGATTGAATGTTTTATAGTGAGTCATTATTGCGATTATAACGATTTTTTCAATCGTTATAAAATAATTTTTCTTCAGAGTATACTGTATACTTTACGCGAATGTTTCGTTATATATACTGATTTATTTATTAGCTGCAAAATTCATTTTTCCAAGCTAGTAGAATTGACAATATACATACATATATAGTTGAGATATGTATTTTAAATTCTCTGTATATTAATCATGTTCTTAATAAATAATTACAACGACGATTGACAATATGTTTTACATAGTGAGTCATTATTACGATTATAACGATTATAATGTTACACGATATTAATTAACAGGAATTACCAATAAATACATACATAGGTATCATTTATTTTCTCATTTATGTTTAATTGTTCGCTAATTTCACCAATTGACTAAAATGGATTTTGAGGATTGGGGACGCGGATTTAAAGCAAATTTCAAACTTATAAACGATAATCCGGATTACAGATTAAACAAACTTATCGCGAATAAAATATCAAAAAAATTTTTTTTAATTAAGAAAAATTGTATAAAAATCGATCTTATATTATCTGATATGTAAATTACCTCATACAAATATTTTTCATAAAAGCTTAACAAATATTTTGAAAATTACTAATTAACGCTTTTTTATGCGCTGGTTGATATTTGTTCGCTATCGTTCGTGCTCGTTCGTTTGATCGTGATTTGCGCTTTACACGCGAGTTACCGTGAAACGCGTACATTTTCGCCTGACCGGAGGCGCGGTCAAAATTACAAGGGACGCGATATATTCATGTGCCTTCTTGCTCGTTCGAATCCCGGGATTCGTTTTTACAGCTTCGGGATTTGACGAGCAACGCGCGCGATATTTACACCACGTGCTCCGCGCATTTACATCATGTATCGTGTCTCCGATCGGATCGCATTTCTCGCGTATAACCGCTGTATTTTTTCTTTTTTTTTACGTGACGTAACCGAGTAACACGATAATTCTCATGCTGGGAAGAGGAGGTGGGAAAAGAGAGGAAGAAGTAGAAGAGCCGCTTGACAGATAGATCCGCGCGTAAAAATTCGTCGCTCTGTCTCTCGCAAGTTGACGCGCATCCGCGTCGCACAAACGCATCGAATTACAGTACCTTCCGATGGGCGTGTCCCACTGACATTCCGACCTCGTCGTCTTTCATCCTATTGAAGGCTTTTCTACTGTGTTCCTCTTCCTCCCTGCCGCGCGCGCGAAAAGGGACCCTTTTTCTAGCGCCGGCGTTTAGTCGGCGGTTTTCACGTGTTTACAGTACCCGTAGGAAGTCACACCTACCTACTGAAGGCCTGATGCCCGAAGGTCTTTACAACGATACCCGTGTAATCGATACGTTTTTCACAATGAGACTTAGGCGACTTTACTAGAATGTTTCACCGCAGGTATAACAGTTGTGACAAACGCCCCATAATGACGTGACATAATCGTTAGGTTGATTGACAGGTGTTAACTGCGTTCAATTTACATAAAACGCACCTACACATGCATTTGTGTTCTTTTTAGTATATATTAAAATATTATATAGATTATATTTTTATTGAATAAAGAAATCATGTCTTGATCATTCAGATTTTAGTAAACAAAAATTATAATGAGTAAATGATTTTTTTCTACAATTAGTTTAATATTAAGAAAGCTTTAACAGATAGAAACATTTTATATTTTTATTACACTTTTTGTGAAATGTAATTATTGTATGAAAAATTATATGTATATGTAATTTTTAATACAATAATTATTTTGC